AGCTGGTTTTGAGCTACTGAATGCTTTATGCTATGGATTCCTAACTTGTATAATCTGAATTGAGCACGTGGATATCTCATCTTGTTCAAAAGTTTTTAATAAGCACTTTTAAAATAATTTCTTTCTGGCCACCAATCTTTCTTGACTTGTAATTGAATACCAAAAATTAGTGAAACTGACTTATATGATGGGTTCAGCTCAATTTCCCACAAGTGGAAAGAGTGAGCCCACTTCATTTTTGTCTATAGAGAATAAAGCAGAACAGTTTTACAAAATGTACAGCCATGAATAGTCTATTTACAACCACGGTTTGTTAGAATAATGTTGATGTTGAAATCCGTATAAGTTACTTTTTGAGCAAGTATTGGTCTAAGATTTACGAATAAACGGATTTGTCAGCTTGTTCAGTTATTATACAATGGAAGAAAATGTACTCGAATATATTTTAATACTAAAATTAATATATTTTTGGAGAAAATATCACAGAATTTAGCTTTGTTGAGTCGGATTGTGTACTCTGAGTCTATAGTTTATTGATAGGTCGATCACTACGTTTAGTGTACTCATCACTCATGTATATTCAATTAAATGCAGGTTGATAAACTTTTTTCAAGTAGACTCTAAATGTTTATATTCCTAACATGTATTTCTTATGAGATCGGTGATCTCGTATGCATGACCAATTTCATGAAGCACGAGCCCAACTTCTTCATGACTTAAATTTCCTTGTTCATTTTAACTTTTGTTCTCACTTCAATTCGACTCAGTTGAACACACTAGAACTCAAAACCTACTAGCAAGTCCATTTGATCCAACTTGGCAATATTCCTTCATTTGCTAGCAAGGATGGACGCAGACCTTAAAAGTTAGGGGAGCACAATCGAACTTGCAAAGAAGTTGGAAGAAATTTTACAATTGAAAATTTACGTTCAAAAAAATCATACCTCATGTAATTTTACATCCGAAAATTTACATGGGATATGATTTTTTCGAATGTAAAATTTCGAAACTTTTTGATGTCATATTCTATATAAAATTTCCTAATAAAATGATGAAAACTACATTGAGAAATTTGTATCGTAAA